GTACTCAACAGTCGTCACTGATGATTTTGTAGTAACGGAATATGATAGAACATTAACATATTTCCCAAAAGAAACACAATATATTTGAATAAACTTTCAAAAATAATATCACAAGCAAAGTACTTATGCAGAAGCTGACAAAACTTGAAGTCCGTAGGTTTTGGCGCATGACAAATACATGTTTTGACACAGAAGGAACCAAATTTTGATCAAAATTTGAAGAAAAAACATGAATCCATGTCCAAGAGTCAGAAAATCTACAATTTTGATAAGCAAAACATGTGATTTTGAAACACTTTTGGTACAACGTATCAACAAAACATTAAAAATCTATCCTTCTGTGTAAAATTTGCGAAATTGCAGCTGTTTTGCTCGGTTTGGGCTCCATTTCAGCGCTATTAAGCACTATTAAGCACTATTAAGAAGCAGCTTTTATACCTGGTAAAACACACGTAAGATCCACTTCCTAGGGTCAGAAAATCAATAATTTTTACAAAAAATTATGATTTTGAACAATTTTTGATGAAAAGAATACAATTCTGCTGGAAAGTTGCCAAATTGCAGCTGTTTTGGTGGGTTTGGGCTCCATTTAAGCGCTATTAAGCACTATTAAGCACTATTAAGCACTATTAAGCACTATTAAGCACTATTAAGCACTATTAAGAAGAAGCTATTTTACCTGGTAAAACACAGGTAAAATCTACTTCCTAAAGTCAGAAAATCAATAATTTTGACAAAAAATGCTGATTTCGAGCCATTCTTGGTGAAAAGAATACAATTCTGTTGGAAAGTTGCCAAATTGCAGCTGTTTTGGTGGGTTTGGGCTCCATTTAAGCGCTATTAAGCACTATTAAGCACTATTAAGCACTATTAAGCACTATTAAGCACTATTAAGCACTATTAAGAAGAAGCTATTTTACCTGGTAAAACACAGGTAAAATCCACTTCCTAAAGTCAGAAAATCAATAATTTTGACAAAAATTATGATTTTGAACCATTTTTGATGAAAAGAATACAATTCTGCTGGAAAGTTGCCAAATTGCAGCTGTTTTGGTGGGTTTGGGCTCCATTTAAGCGCTATTAAGAACAAACTATTTTAACTGTAGAAACAGAGGTAAACAAGAATGAAAAATTTTGACCTAAAAATGATTTTGAATCATTTTTGGTGATTTTTGTCTCGAAGAATGCAAAAATCTGTGCTTCATTCATACGTTCAATTGTTTTGCCGTGTTTGTGCTATTTAAATTTGATTTAGCTCAGGTATACAAGTAAATAGGATGCCTGTCTCAAAATTTTAGCACACAGAATTGTTGACACAGGAGACATTGAAAATATCCCTATCTCAATGGTCCATTCCTTACGATAATAGTAAGCAATCAATGATTGGGAATCACATTGACATTTTTTGTCTTCGCCTTGCCTGCGCTGTGGGCAGCTGGTTGCAAAAGAGAACTTTCGCTAAGGGCTTTCCGTGAGCATGCCAATCCAGGAATCCACACTTAAATGCTCGTCATTGAATCATATGTCATATGTCTAGAAAACAGACCAACAGTGAGTCATAAGTGATATGTTTTTTCATATCATAGCATGGAACTCCAATTGAATTGACTGCCAAGTAAGTAGGAACTTGAAAATGCATGAGGGCAATCACACAAGTGATCTGCCACAAGCATGCTTTGTTGTTCAACCAGGGCCCATCAAGGAATCCACGCCAATTCAAACTGATTTTGATGAACTGTGTTCATTGCTTCATAGAAAAAACTCTAACAATAATTAAGTGGTATTATTCCTATGTGATAGATAAAAACGTCCTTTCATGTCACGGCACGGAACTCCAAGGGAATTGCAAAGGACCACACAGGTTGAATGACATTCAGCTGATGTCATCAAGATTGACACGAGAAAGCTTGCGCTTCAAGCCCTTCGAAGTCTGATCCTTGCAAGGCATGATTTCAACAAAAAAAATGAGATAGTAATGTCTTTTAAAATTCACTGTGATCCTTACAAGCACGTTTATCATTTGCTCTAAGCTCTCTCCCTCTCTTAACAGGCAAAAGACTTGAAAACACTTAAATGCTGGCGATTCTAAACAAAAAAAATCATGCTGTGAAATCTTTGATTGCCATACTCATCATCAAATTCACAAAATAAGGATAGTGAAGAATTCAAAAATCACTCTGTTTACCAACTATAGCTTCACAAAGTGAGTCTCCTGGTCCACTGTGGTGTCAGATGCCTCGGTCATGTGATCCTGCAACGGACATGACAGAGTCGAATGATAAACAAGGAGTTGAACATTATGATTGACTGGCTATAAGAAACAACATTTTGCTGTGTCTCCTGTACCAACCTTGAAGATGAATACACCTATATTTTAGTTATAGTCATGCGCCCCCCCCCACACCACACACCTCCTCTGGGACGTCTTCTGATTCCTGCGCAGCCTGCTCGGCATCCTCACAGGGATGTCAAAGCTCTAAGAGGGAAACATAAATATGCCGTTTTGACATTATATAATTCTTACATGTTGATTTTGCATGTCCTCTTTTGACATTATATAATTCTGTTGGGTTCATTGTTTTTTTCAAAAGTTACCCTGAATTTTGGGGTACTTTTTGGTTGTAAAAAGCACCTTAAAACTTATATACTGCAGCTGTTCACGGCCATTGACAACCACAAAAACGCTCTTATTTGCTCATGACTCATGGACGCATGAATTCTGACATGATGTCAACAACACATTCTCATAACATTACCCTTGGCTTGAATTTTACCCACGATATCAAAACCTATGATAATTATATTTAATTATTAAAGGTTACCATTGGACCATACGAAGTTAAGGTGCAAAAAACCTGGGAATGCTCGTCCTGACTCTGAGTCTCAGCTTTCTGATCCTCCTCGCGGTGAGAAGTGACAAGTAGTTTGCTGTCTTTGCCATAAACTTAATTTTCCTGACTTTCTGAAAGACTTATAGATCTGTAATCTCGGGAAATGTGATGCCTCTCCAGAACTTAACCTTGGGAATTGTATTTATTTATTTCTCCGGACGCATAGTGATTGCTAAATTGTTGCATCCTATCAACTTAACTTGGTTGTGTCAGCAAACCTAACCATGTCTCCTCCGGAATGTTTGCAGCCTTCTCCGTCTCAGGATCGGCTTTGTCACCCTCCTCAATGGGAAAGGGGTCACGTAGTATGCATCAGTCAAGAACATTATGGGGTGACTGAGTTGTATAGTTGTGTAAACGAAGCCTCGAGATAAATTGAAAAGGTCTTTTGTAATTTTTTGGGGCGAGTAAGAATTGAAGTCAAGAACAAAATTTCCTTTGAAAGGGATTAAATCTTGTTCAAGATTATTGTCTTCCAAATCTCTATGAATGAAGCTTTTGTCACTGCACAGCGCCTTTTGCAGTGAATAACTTCAATAAGTTTGAATGGTTGCAATTTAGTTCTTGCCTGGAAAAAGTTAGGCAATATTATTTATCAATCATCATAGATTAACATTCAGTTAAGGTGCAAAAAACCTGGGAATGATTGTTGTGACTCTGAGTCTCAGCTTTCTGATCCTCCTCGCGGTGAGAAGTGACAAGTAGTTTGCTGTCTTTGCCATAAACTTAATTTTCCTGACTTTCTGAAAGACTTATACATCTGTAATCTTGGGAAATGTGATGCCTCTCCAGAACTTAACCTTGGGAATGGTATTTCTTTTCTACGGACGCATACTGATTGCTAAATTGAAGCATTCTATCAACTCAACTTGGTTGTGTCAGCAAACCAACAATGTCTCCTCCGGAATGTTTGCAGCCTTCTCCGTCTCAGGATTGGCTTTGTCATCCTCCTCAATGGGAAAGGGATCATGCATACATCAGTCAAAAGCATTGGGTGACTGAGTTGTATAGTTGTGTAAATCAAGAATCAAGGCTTGAAAGAATTTAATGTCATTTTTACTTCATGGTGTGTTCTGGATGAAGTTTGGCTAGTTTTTCCTCTTGGAGGAAACTTTGATATTTTTTTCAACTCAGAATTGCTCTGTAACTGTAACTGTAACATTAAGTTTGGAACCCTTGCTTTAATGTATGACTTGATGATGGTTATCTCCGTCCTTGGCGGCAGCGGATGGCTGGCTGCACGTCTTTTCCACAGGCTCCCCCTCCTGTGCAGTGTGAGGCATCTATTTGTGGGCACTATACTTAACAACAGGCATTTGGTGGGAATAATAAGGATCATGTTATGTTTATATATGTATATATACATTGAACCGCTCCACTGTCCATGAAATGCTAAGCTGGACTGGCAGTCTACTGCTGCTTGGCTTTCCCCGCCTTGTCTTTGGAAGAGGCTCCTATCAAAAGCCGAATGTGTAATGTCAAAGTCTACTTCGAAGGAATGCACCCGTGGTCACAAAATGTCAAGTGAGTAAACTAGTTTAGCTACATATCACATGATTTCATGTTAAAGTTCCCTGTCATTTTATTAGAATTTTATTGTTTGAGATTCAGATGTTGTTATTGGTACTTGCGGTTGTAATTGAGTTTAAAACCACCATGCCTTGAATATGTGTATATATAATATACATATTATATATATATGCAAATGTATATGTAATTATCCTTCAATATGTATTTGCCTGTATACATTCCCGATGGTTGGAAAATGCATTTCCCCCAAATCAGGTTCCAACGGTTCAGACATTGTTTTGACGGCCCCCAAAATATGTTGAACTTTCTGAACCGGTGGAAAACTACAGTAAGGGGTTCTTTATCACCATTTTTCAAACCATCGGGTTCAGAAAATTACCTATAAGAAAACAAACTGTTACTATTTTTGTTGATTGTATATTAAGACTGTTGGTGACTGCTGTAAATCATCTCTCTTATCGTGCATTATGCACATGATAAGCTCACCCATAGCTCATCCTTAAAGCTTATGCATAGGCATATGTATATATATATATATCTGGTTGTTTCGTTTGCATGTTTAAAGAAGTTCTTTCACCTTCATCCTGCAAGCAGCACCCAACCAAATCCCAAACCTGCAGTAGGAGGCATCAGAATGCCCACATACTCCTCGCAGTCATAAAGATCAGCCCCACCCTTGCTCGACAGCAAGAAGCACCCATTCTGGTATATGATCTTGAAGTTGGATGCGCTTGCCGGCAAAGGCACATCAGCCACCCTCTTCCCAAGGAAGTTCAACTTCACCAATCTCTGGCCCCCATCCCGATAGATAATCTTGAACTCTGATTCCTCGGTCTTCTCAGCAGACGATGGCTTCTGGTCCATCTTGGCTTCCTTCTTCTGATCCGTCTTACCTTCCACCATCAAGGTTGCCTTCTCCTGGCCAAGAGTCTTGGAAGCTGCCGCCTGGCGAGCCTCCACGTTGGCGACAAAATTTCCTTTGAGGATTGCAGCCTCCTCCATGATCCAAGCTTTCCCCGGATGCTGCACTCGATCAGGCATGATAATCTGGCCATCACCTTTGACCTTGGCGAAAGTGCACATCCATTTCTTGGCCAGCTGAGTCACATATTCGGGTTCGATAAAGTCATCACCTCGCAAAGGGTAGCCAAAGCGTCGCCACTCCTTCCGCAACTCTGTGACGATCTCATCCCTCTCCCACCTCAGACTTGCCAAGAGTTGTAAGCTCCTCTCGTGGCATGATACTTAGTGGCATGAAAGCTGAAACTGAAACCAACCTACCAACGCATTTAAAATAAGTCGGTTATGTGAGTCATATGTGGTAATTCATATCATCAGGAGCTATGGTTTGGCCTAGTCACGATGGAGGTCGCTCAGCAGGGCACACCCCGGTCATGACAAAGAGGTATGCAAGGATGGCAGGCTTGTCCAACCTGTTCTCCAACACCGTTCCGAAGTTGTCCTCGTCCAGAAGCTTGAGCCAGGAGTAGAGGTGGCAAGCCTAAGTCCAAATTGTGAAGGTCTAGTCCCTTGCTTAATTATTTGTCATTTGTTGAATGTCTACAATCCCTGCAAAGACCTAAAAGCCTAAGTCCATAGCAAGTGAGCTACCTAACTGTATGATTTGCATACTGACTTACTTCTAAGCTAGATTCCAACTTGGGTACAACCTGATCTTAGGGACAAGTAACAGGGAAACCTCCAATCTTGGCATAAGTTGAGGAATACCTTTCGGCTTGTTTCATCTTGCGAGATCCTGCCGAAGAGGGTGCCCTGGGGGTACGCTTGGCCTTTGCCTTGGCCTTTCCCTTCGCCTTGGGCTTCCTCTTGGCCTTTGCCTTTGCCTTCGGCTCTGGCTCATCCTCTCCATCCTCATCATCTTCTGGCTCATCACCCTCATCTTTGTAAGATTCGTTGCCAGGCCACCTAGGCATTCCAAGGACGACTGGATACAATGTGACATAGTGGAAACAAATAAAAACTAGACTAATGAATTTCTGAATGCAAGCCTTTGTGGACAAAGATCATGACTCTTTTAAGCCCATGGCTTAATAGTTGATTTCTTGTTTGTGCTGAGATGTGCCAACCTCTTTGCCACAAATTCCCATGTCTAAACAGCAGACCGCTATTGGCAATATTATATCTGCATATAGCAGTTAGATACATATGATTCATAAATAAGATAAATCAAATAAATAAGCACAGGCAGGAGACAGGATATCCTTACCACTAACCTTATCCTTGTCAATCCTTGCAATGGTCTCGGGCTTGACCGATGCTTGCTTCCCCTGTGACCCTGAAGACCCCGCTGGAACCAATGCCCCTGGCTCAGCAGCTGGCGAGACAAGCCCTGACAGCGCAACAAGGTCACGAGCAGACTTGAGCGCAGGCGGCATGGTGCTGTCTCAGTCAGACTTGCGTGAGGTGACTTGAACACCTAAAATCACTCAATGAATCAATGGCAAGCCCATATTTGATTCAATCAAGTCCATCTCAATGATTGCAAACCACAGTTTGATTCAATCACAAACAAACCCAACATCAATCACAAACAAACCCAACAAAGACAACAGTAACCACTGTGAGTCAGTCAGCTGTCCTGTTTTGAAGGGCCATCTATGATTGCCTACAGTCTACATATGGATTCCGAAGACTTGTGTGATACATCCTTTCAAAACCACTGCATCTTTTTGGTAAACATTTATTAGATCGACTAAAGTGAAGATAAATCACTGTTCTTGCATCAATGCAGCCATCTTTTCCCCATTCCCTGCAGGACGAACTGAACTTCCATCCAAAGGTCTTTGTAGCTCACTCTGGTGTTGTTTTTCTAAAACACACCATGCCAACTAACACAACTATTGACACATTTGACAGATGCATTGCGTTGCCAGCCATGAGTTCCGCTCTCTTCGGGTCAACTGTTCCAAGCACTGATGTGCGCATCGAGGAAGCAACTTCCTTAGTAGCTGGCCAGCCCAAAGCAGTGAGCTTGTCGGTCGACGTCATCACCCTGCCAGTGCTTCTCTGGTAGTAGAATCCCAAATTCCGCCTGAAAGTCGGCAACTTTCCTGAATGACAACTCCACGTCTTTGCAAACGAGGGATTATCCCCCAGAAAAAACACGTTGTCTGGACTGCTTCGTGGATCCTGCTTGTTGAACTTCTTTCTGTAGGCATTGTCAAGCTCTTTGACAACCCTGCGCTCTCGAGGGTTCAGAATGTAGTCAAAGCTCTGTTCATCCTGAGCAAAAAAGACTCATCTAAGTTAGTGGAGAACATATTTCCGGGTCAGAAAAAAAAAACGGTTGTTCAATGGCTAGGATATGTTTTAATACAGTTCAGTTGTTGTTGTTGTTGTGTTTTTCAAATTTCTAGATGCAGAGATGCTTACAAAAATTGTTCTATGTTTTTCTGTGTATATGCACTGGCTGATATATAATGTATAGACAACATAAATAAATAAATAAGTAAATAAATAAATAAATATATGTGGTATACCATGTACACATAGTCACAGAATAATGCTAATGCAAATACATTGTTATTGTAATTTTGCTTTTTACCGCTTTTCCTTGGTGTGGGGCTTCCTTTGGGGGGTCGGTGGGAAAATTGCTACTTGTCAATGCCAACAAGCTACGGGTGTCCACTGCAACTTGCGTTTTCGGCAAACATCATGAGAGTGAACATTGATTTGCGTGGGGGTTGAAATGAAATAGTCTCTGCATCGGGTGCTAGCAACTTCTCCAATGCTCTTTTTGATCATGTCATACAGCTGGTAGAGGTCGTACTGGTATTCACCCGTCTCATGGTGGCAGCAAAACACATAAACTCTTTCCCTCCTAACCGCCGTATGTCCCACGTCTTCTGGGCCCACCCTCAGTGGATAGATGTCGTACTCTGGCAATATTCTGGCCACATCGTCGATCGGGAGATCCTTGGACGGCGTCCCCCACAAAGTAACCAGATTTATTGTAATAACTATATCCTTTGGGTTCATCAAAAAAGGAAAAACAGAACAGTCGAAATCTGGCAGCATACTAACGCTAAAACGAGTCTCTGGGGTATTCTCAAGAATCAATAACGGCGTTCTGGCTAACCGGTGTTTTCGTGCCCACACCAAGTAGACTGATCCATGCTTGCCGTCGACAAAAAAAAGTCGATTCAGGTTTGCCCTACTATTGTCTTGACAAGGAAGGCCACTCACGTTCAGGTCAGCTGGATCTTCTAAACTGCACTCTTTGTTGTGTACATGGCAAAATGCCGTTTTTCTAAAATTACATTTTTCACACTGAGCCTTCCTCTTTTGGAAGGAGGCCAACTCATCTAGAGTACCTGGTGGAATCTGAGCCTTAACATCGTCAAACACGTGTGGCTGAAGGTACTTGTGGTCTGTCCATTCTTGGACCCACCTGTGGTTGTCCATGATCACTTGCCTGCACGATGGGTCAAGTTCCTTAGTCGGAAGGTGTCTTCCAGGAAGTTGTATATTATTATTTTACTATGAAAATGAAATCAACCAATGAACCAATAAACCAATGAATATCTCTTGAATCCTTGGAGATTGGGTTTGAACACTATGTTTTTTGTTCACCAAAAATCGAAAGTTTGCTATTCAATTACGGGGCTAAGGATCGTGGCAGGACACTGGCTCTATCTTGACATTGAAATCTTCAGGTCCATTCGTTTCATTCCAAGTCCTGACTGCCAAAGAAACCGCCACCAAGGAAAAGTTGCAAAAAGGAAAACAAACAGGAAAATTACAAGTCCTTTTTGACAAATGTTTCCCTGTTGCATTTGAGTGGAATCTTTGGTCCACTTGAACGGATGGCGTGGACATAAATTGATTGCCCAACAAGATAAAAATAACAAAGGAGTTTGAGTTTGTCTCACACAGTTTGGCCACACTGAAACAGAAAACTGACGACATGAGGAAACTGAGAAACATTGAAAGTTGTCACGTAAAAAGTTTCAGTTGTGACACATATCGCAAAACATAGCGCACTCCAAATCGGAGCCAACCTCAACCAAAAAAGTATGTCACGTAAAAAGTTTCAGTTGTTTAAAAAGACCAGAGTGGAACAGGGAGACAAACACGTTCCTTTTATTTAAAAGAACTACAGTTCAATGCTTGTTGAATGATTCAACAAAATCTGATTCCAATGCCAGTTCATTGTATTAATTAGATGCAATACTTCTTGTTCTAATAAAATTTGAGTGAAGTATGATTCAAAATATTCCTGTGTTCAAGTTCATGTGCAAAGAAGTTGATTGACTACCTGAATGCCAAACTTGCACATGAAAAAACATTTGAGCTTCGTTGCTCTTGTTTTGCCTTCTTTGTTGAAGGACTTGAACCAGGAACATCACAGCATGAGATATATCGATATCATCCTGTCAAACGTTTCCTAACACGTTTCGAAGTCTTTGGCAAGATTCGATATAAGGAAACAGACACAATGTTTCAAGTTTAACTCAAAGTTTTTCTTGTTTTCCAAACCAGTTCGTTGCATTCGGATCACCGCTACATGGAAGACACCGCGGGGATTAAAACGATAGGTCCCCAACCACTCTTTTTGGGGACCTATCGTCTTCATGGTTGGTGAACATAATGTAATAACAAACCAGTTATACCGTTGAGGTTTTTTAGGCCGTCTCATTTTTTTTGAAATGAGCCTTTCAAGTTTTACGCCCAAGAAGGTGCTATCCACGTTGTGTAAAATCCCATAGCGCCAAAAGACATGCCCGGTTTTTCGAAAAACCGTGAGGGTCTTTTTTCCCACTTGGAAATCCACTCCTCACTTCATCGCTTTCTTTTTTTTAAGACTTCTTGAAAAAGGTTTTGCATCTGAAACTCCAGAACATGGTAAAACAAATAAGAGTGAAACGCTTTGCATTCAGTTGTGTTTGCATTTCATTTGTTTGGGTAAGGTGTACGATATAATCGTAGAGACCAAGCTTACACCCAAGAAGAGGAGGCGAGGAGAAGGGAAGCTTTTCCCTAATTCAAGGTTTATCTATAAACAACCATTGGCACGCCAACAGTAATCATCTTTGTGCCAAAGAGGATGTGCTGAATCAGTTTATCTGGCCCCAAAGAAAACATTGTTATTATCAACCGTTTTGAAGGGAAATAAACAGTTGGTCTGTGTGGGCACCCCATGAAATAAGTTCATAAGTTAATAGCTGGCATACCTTTGTTACATGCTGGTTATATACTATGACTTTGACAGCCAAGTTGCTTTTGCACGAGGGCCATCGCGACTTCTGCAGTATATACCCCTGTACATGAACTGGACATAGATCTAGCAGTAGCCAGCAAGGATTTCTTCAAATACCCCGCAGGGACAAGCTTCTTGCATAGATGCGCAGCCATTCGTGTTGCTCGGGCTGCTATTTCCAGTGAGGTTTCACAAAAGTCAACCTGACCAACAAAATGCAACTTCCCAATGATTTTAAATTGATAGTACCTTTAATCTGGTGGAAAGTGACATCTATAAATATTAAAACACGTTTTAGCTGCAGTTTGAAAAAGGTTCTCAAAAAAAGACCCCTGTGCCACCTGGAAAGGGTTCTCAAAAAGACCTCTGCGCCCCTCTTGCCCAGCACTGTCAACATGCATCTGTGAGACTGATTCACAAGTGGCCGTGGTTGATGCCATAGTAGTGCGCACGCCGGGTTCGGAGGCTGCAGTTTCAAACGACATGAGGCCAGCGACTGAAAATGTCTGTACCGTGAAACAGTGCTAAGCATATCTAGGTAGTGATAAACATAGGTATAGTATAGTTACTCAGTTTTTGTGTGGTTTATTTGCGCAGTGAATAGAAATACATTGTTGTACCTGTTTTTATTTTATCGTCACATAAGTGTATCAAAGACAGTAAAAATACACATAGCACATACTGTCTATATATGTATTATATGCACATGTTTTA